GTCTTTGTTCTTTCACTGTTATGTTACTTTGTTAATTCATTAATTTCAACAATTTTTGAATTAACGAGAACAGTATTTTGAAAGTCAATCAAAATAATAACAATAATTATAAATGTTATTATATCTTAATAACTTAATTAGCTTGTATTTAACATAAAACTATAATTAGCTTGTATTTAACATAACAATCATAATTAACTTTCTCCTCTCTTTCTCCCTCTCTCTTTTCATCCTTCTGAAAAAAGACAATATTGCTCTTGAAACATGATAATGTTTATGATAATGTTTCTTATCTTGAAAAGTTTATTTTATTTTGCATGTGACACTACATGCAATCTGGATCAAATCAATACGGATTATATTCGGATCGACTCAATTCGGATTGCATTACCCCGCTTTAGTGTTCCTCTATTTCTTGATAAATAAATTTATTCAAACACAAAAAAATAAGTAACCGTGTCTGATACTTCTCTTCCGTCAGTCGAAGAAGTTAATCAATGGAGCCCGCGTCAAGTTATTGATTTTCTGGAGTCTTATAATAAAGAAAAAAAATTATTTCTTGAAGATGGAGACATTAAAGCAATTAAAGATAACCGTGTCCGCGGTTTTTCTTTCCTTGAATTGTCTAAAGAAGACCTTCTAGCTCCTCCATACAATCTTCCTGACGGACTAGCTAGAACTATCGCTGGATTAATTAGAAACATTAAGGGTGAAGAGCAAGGTAAGTACCGCGACTGCATTCGAATATTCCAAACCTATACTGCTTTCTCCGCAATAATTTCATTTATTAACTTGCGCTTTTTCTCATTATAAGTATCTACAGGCGTATTGAGTCCTCGGGAGCAGACATTGTTGAATGAGTTGCTAGACCTGCGAGCGAAGCTTGCAATCTCGTAAGAGAATCTGTTCATAGTATTTAAACTGTTATGGTGTAGTACTTTTATAGCGTTTTCAATGCAGATCTTCATCAGCTACTAAGCGACATTTTTCAAACCTGGATGACTATGAAGAAGGTTAGCTGTAGGATATGTGTAGAATCCTTATTGTATCAACTAAACCTTTCCAATCTTTACAGAACAACAAAAAAACGTAAAGAAAATTCGGAGCTATCCTCCTCCGTCATCTTTCGCACTCCTTAATAATCTTATTAATCATCATGTTAAGGATAAGCAGTTACTTATTCACCGTCCTCCAGAATGCGTTGGCCCGCCAGTACAAATTTATCACAATGTTTTCAGTCAGTTCCTGCGTGATTACCGTAATGAAGATCTAGAAATGGGGAGAGAGCATTATGAATGGACTCTTGAGTTCATTCATGAAATGGGAGAAATATACCGCAGTGAACGTGAGCGTTCTATAGTGTTTAAAGAAACAATTCGTAAATTATTTGGTGAGGAATTAAGAGTAATTAGCCTGGAAGATGATTCCTCAAATGATGATGTGTTGGAATCTAACGTCTTTTCAAAAAATGTTTTACGTTTTCTTGTTGAGATGAAAAATGAAATTGGCACTGGTAGCTGTGATCCAACTGTCCAGGCTGGAGCTTCTTTTGCAAAATATTATACCCAAGAGACATATGGGGAAGTACTCAAATGGTGCAACTGGCCATCTTTTATCTTATGCTTAGCTGGACCGTGGGTGTGTATTTTAGGGTCAGTATATGTTGAGAAACCCATTGTAGATCCCTTGACGGACTTCATACCTCTTATTCCTACAAACAATCGAGCCCACGCAGAGCGAGTGGCACGACTTTTCAAAGCTTTGTGCTTGGGAGTCAACAGGCTAAAAGAGTATTATGTATCGCTAGATATACCTACAAATCGACAAAATTCACAACGATTTTTTCCCTATCCGAATCAATACAAACAACAGGATACAATCGTGGAATTTACATATGAGAGAAAACTTGTGGATCAGCCCAACAAGCTTCTTTGGAAAGCTATAACAAAAGACGGCCGGAAAATCATTGTTAAATTCACATGTCATTATAATCAAAGAGCACACGAACTGTGTAGCGAAATTGGAAAGGCGCCAAAATTACTTTACATTAACAAAGAGGTGGTGGATGGATTTTACATGGTAGTGATGGATTATGTTGAGGCCGAGCAACTTTACGACTGCGACTCACTTAGTCATGATGAATATAAAGCGGTTTTCAAGGACATCGAAGAAGCTATCGACAAACTGCATAAGGAAAATATTGTCTTTGCTGACCTCCGTGATTCCAACATTTTGGTTAACAAATCTCAAGGCCAGTATCAAGGAATGTTAATAGATTTCGATTGGGCCGGTAGAGAAGAAATTGAGTGTTATCCTTCTTTCATGAACCATAAACATATTAATTGGCCACCAGGGGCTGAGGATAGGAAAAGGCTGAGTCAGAAACACGATATTTATTGGTTAGAGTTATTGAAATCTAAATATTTGGGTATGGAGTTCGATTGATTAATTAGTATGGTATTTGAAGACAAAGTAGGAAAAAATAAAAAAAATCATCATGTATGATAAGCTGTGCATATATCCGGTATAATTTGTTTTTAATAATCTAATAATAAACGGATTCTCGGGTTAACATTGTGTTAATCATATTCATACGTTTTGGAAATAATATGTGTTTATCTCTCTTGTCTTGGTCTACGGGAATTAAAAATATCCATTACCTGTTCCGTTGATTATCATGAATTTCTGCTGAAAATTTCACTGATTTCGATTTTATTACTAATCATTGTAGAACTTATTTTTATGAGGTCAATAAAATTTACAGTAAGTTTTTAGCAATGTGATACATAGTACCAACTCCAATGGCAAAAATTTATCTGGGAACAATTCATTGAACTTGATAAACAGTTTCAACAAACTGAAGATCGAGATGATGATTGGCACTATGATTGAAAAGATTCAAATTGACAATGTTGGTGCCATAAGAAATTATATCGAGAAGAAGACAAATATCAAAAATGTCATGACGATCTTGCAAAATGGATTACTATCCTCTATCACAAACGATATAATGCTGAATATAAAACTAAAAATAATTAGGCTAAAGAAGTAGAATGACAAATATTCAACAAAAATCATAATCCCAACAAATATCTCATCATAAAATTAGCTCTTAAAAATGGAATCCAAATGCAATGCAACGAATATAAAGAATATATAGATAAATATTTTGAAGCATCATATTGTTTAGCTGATGGAACAATTCCCAAAACATGTAGACAATATCATAAAGAGAAGAAACTAAACCTATCTCAATGTGTAGTTTGTGAATATCGAGCTGAAGCAAAATACATGTACATTACTGGATGCTACAACAAGAGATACTTCTGTACATATGAAGAACAATGTATCTATTGATTTAACCAAAGAGGATGACAAAATAACTGTAGAACTATCTGAAAGCTTAGAGAACAAGGATCTCTAATAGATATATATCTTACCTGTAATAAAATTGGAAAAGCTATCCTATCCCAGTACATTCGATCTGAAGATGTTAATGAACAAACAGAACTAATTCAATATACTAATTCTGAAGAAGTTTCACCCAATGAAATATTTCAACAAATTTATCAACAAATTTCATTAGAATGATATATATAACTCACTAAATTGGAATATATTAATGTCAAACTATGCTGAATGTTTGATTTCCTGTAATAGCGACCAATATGAAGATTACTGAGAATCTGAAATTTCAAAACTATCCTGTTTGTTAATAAGAGTAAAGTGCCAATGTATCCAAAACCAGACTCTAAACTTGAAGAAATATTAATACAAGCTGAGAACATGATTACCTCCTTACAACAACTGGTTTCAAAAGTTAAAACCAAAATGAAAAATCAAATAATAAATGAACTTGATAAAATACTTGAACATTACTATATCATTGACTTTGCTGAGTTACTGGTTCAAAAAGAAGCAAACCTGGCTATTAAGATTTATAATGATGACAACAAAGATACTATATCTCAAAAAGCTCATGAAAATGATGCTAGATTTGATGTAAAATACATTGGAAAAGAACCAATTAAAATATAACCTCAACAAACCACTTATATCAATTTATTCATCGTATTTGAAATACCTCCTGGAATCTTATGTCTCATTCCTCTTTGACAAAAAAAGGAATTGAAGTGAAAGCTGGAACTATTGACTCTGACTATACTGAAAATATTGAAGTATTGTTATACAATAACTTTCAAGTTCCATATATTATCCAACTACAAGAACGAATTGTTCAAGCAGTATTTTTACAACTCGCACCAATTGAAAGAATGAAATCCATTTCTACTCGACAAGAACTCAGAGAATCTACTCATGGAATTGGTGAATTTGGATCAACTGACAATAAAAAAATCAATACATTCTTTCTTAATCAAGAAAAAGAAAGTGATAAATCAGTAAAATAATGAGAATTAACTGAAGAACAAGAACAAGCTCTAAACAAACTATTAGAAGAAAATAATGACATATTTGCTACTGAGTTTCATGAGCTTGAACGAATTAATAAAGTTCAACATATTATTGACACTGGAAATGAATAATCAATTAAGTAAAGATTTTACTGAGCATCTATACCTAATCAACAATTTATTTTTGAAGAAATACATAAGATGATTAATGCTAAAATTGCTTAACCTTTAACAAGTCTCTGAGCTTTTTCTATCATAATAACAACAAGAAAGAATGACAAGAAAAGACTTTGCATAAACTATCAAAAACTTAATAGTATTACAAAAAAAGATGTCTACCCCTTATCAAGAATCGATGAAATATTAGATGCTCTTGGAGAAGCAAAATGATTTTTATTAACTAATCTTATCAATGGATTCTGGTAAATTGGAATGCATCCTGATAGTATTTAAAAGACTGCCTTTACCTCTCACAAAGAATTATTTGAATTCAATATTATGCTCTTTGGTGTATATAATGGATCCGCTATCTTTCAATGAGCAATAGATGATATACTTGGAGATTATAACTGGAAATTCACTATGAACTATATTGATAATATTAATATATTTTCATGTACCTTTAAAGAACATTTATAATATTTCAATTTGGTATTTCAACAAATAAGAAAAACCAGATTAAAACTCAACAAAGCAAAATGTAATTTCATTCAAAAAGAATTACTCTTTCTTGAATATGTAGTCAACAAAGATAAAATATTTTCTAATTTATTAACTGTACAAAAAATTCTGGACTTTTCTCAATCACGTACTATTAAAGGACTCTAATCATTTCTTGAATTAGCTGAACATTATTGAAAATTTATTAAAGGCTTTTCACAAATTATTATATCATTCTTCAAATTATTATGCAATAATATTACTTTTATCTGGATTATTGAACAAGAAAAAGCATTCAATAAACTCAAAATAGCACTTAATGTAGCACTTATCACAGCACTAATATTAGTTTATTCAAATTTTACAAAGAAATTTTACTTCTACACTGATACTTCTGACTCTGGATATGAAGCAATATTATTTCAAAAAGATAATCAAGAATGAAAACAAGTTATTTCTTATATAAGTACTATTTTAAAGATCTCTGAGAAAAATTACAGTATAACTGAGAAAGAAGTTGCTGCAGTTGTCTGGTCAATAAAATAATTCTAATATTATCTTCTAGAAACTATATTTAAAATAATTACTAATCACAATATTTTGAAATAGTTATTTACTAAACAACAAAATCCTGGACCAAGAATTGCCTACTGGATAACCCAAATAATGGAATACACTTTTATTGTCACCTATCGATCCGGAAGAAAAAACCAAAATGTTGATGTACTATTTCACATATACTCTAAACAATAAATCATGGATTTAACAACATATTATAATCTTCTTTGATACCTGAAAAATAAAACTTTTGATAATTACATTTTGGAATTCCAACAACAAATTATTCAACAAGCAAAACATTTTGTTATACAAAATGAACTCTTATACAAAATTAACTGATGAAAGAATACTACACACTCTCTTAAAGTTTTAAAAGAAAATGAAATAGAATCAATTATAAAATACATGCATAAAGATCCACTCTCTGAACACTTTGGATATAATAAAACCTATTAATAAATCACTATTAAATACTGGTGAAATGGAATGGGAACTAATATAAAAGATTTCATCAAATCTTGCTTCACCTGTTAATTTACAGGTTCCCAAAAATTCAAAGAATCTTTATATCTGATAAAAGTTGGACAACCTTTTGATCATATTGTAATTAACTTAATTGAACCAAATCAAATTACTCAATAAAACAATTGATATTGTTGTATAATGATCTTTTGTCATAATATTTTATTGGATTATAAATATCTCATATATTATTGGATAAAGATTATATCACGTGAAGTGAGCGAACAA